CGTTGTTACAGCTCTAGCGTTCTTCATCCAGCTCAATCGATATGCGATCATCATTTTATGCATAATTCTACTATTAGCACTTTTGTTCTTGCATTTCTTACCAACTGCAGCATCCTGCTACAGTCCATCGCGCGCGACGCCCCTCTCACCGCGACGCGACCATTTCGTTCCTAACGCACCACACCCCAATTCACTCGCTCCCCTGGACCACTACGTAAGTTGGATTGGCTCACTAGATCGCCCCGAAGATCCCGATCCTTGTTGGGCATTTAGCTCATTCCCTATTTCCTAAGCGCGCTTACCCGGGAAGGCATTATGATGAATATGGTAACTCCTATTTCTCGTTCTCTCATTCAACTTCAGAATGCTTCAATTTAGTTTCCATGCCCATGATACTATCACTACTAAATTTGTCTCCTATCTTTTTGTGTATGTCCAAAAAAACTGTAGTGTTGGGTCACTCAGGGGGAACTGATTCGTTCTTGTCTACCTTTTTCAAACACCCATCTCCTGAATATTCAATGTCAATAGGCGTATATTAATGGCAAAATCATTGTTTTTTATGATTCTCTCACATGCTCTCTTTTCCTGAGTGGAATGTTTTTGTTTATGTTTCATCTGGTTCAATGCAAGGGAATATCGATCTGATATTAACGAAAAGAAGACATTGTGATGAGTAGTAAATTGACTACTTTAATTGCTCGAAAATAAGAAGGCTGATGAATATTTCGCAGCTTTTCTACCTAACTAGAATCCATACTAAGGTTTGAACGGTCCGCCGTTATAGGTCGGTCAACAATCAAATGTTCAATTTGAAAGACCCTCTAGAATCTTAAAATGGGAGGCTAATTATTTTTTGCGTATCATTCCAATATTGATGATGTAGAAAAAAAGTCTAATGGGTCTAATTGCTTATACAACGTATCATTTCTAGGGGAATCGGGAGTGGGCAAACTTTGCTTCCTGGCCCAGAAACTAGGAAAGCATATGGTTTTCATTTTAGGTTAATTGAAAAAAAATCCATAAGGTTTTCTCACTATTCTGATTTACCACTAAAAACCTCATCAGACACTAAAATCATGTTATGTGCTTGAATTGCAGTTGGATATCTACATCTCGGAGATGTGGTTGGATCCAGCACTCGACTATTCGGCATTGAATCCATGTAAATACAATTTATCGTTGAATAGTGTACTATTGGAAAAATTGTGGACGCCGAATTCGTGCTTTATCAATTCGAAAACTGCCGACATCCACAAAAGTCCATTTCCGAACATTTTTCTGCTCATCTATGCTAACGGGTCCGGTAAGTACCTTTCTTCTGATTTTTGTTTTCTTTCTCTTTCTACTTTTTTACACGAATGCGGCAAATACGACAATTTACTCTATCAGTGAAGTCCATGATTTTTTTGCCAATTCATGCCTTTACAATTTAAAATAGTATGCAGACGTTGGTTGTCCCCTGACAAACTCCGCCTAATCATGGGCCCCACCCACTACATGAAGGTGGAACAGCGGGCTACTCGTCCCCTCTACATCCCTCATAAAGGTTAGCTGAAACCCTCGGTTAATGGCATAGCTTTGAAAGAGCAGGGCGTCATCGCTCGATTTCCGCTTCTCTTCCATTTGAATATCCATAAACCCTCATCAAAAGTAGGTGTCATAAAAGGTGCATATCCATACTACCCTCCGAAAAACCTACTAAAATAAGTTTTTGACTTAACATAAGAAAAGAGGGATTACAGCCAATTTATTTATTTGAAAATCTTTAGATGAATTAAATTGAAAGCTTCAAAAAGCGTTGTAAATTCCAATCTCAGGAGCATGCTTATAGCAAAATTCCATAAGAGTCGAAATTGACCACTTGAGGGAGGAGTAAGGGTAGTATGTCGTGTTTACATACTATTGAATACACAAAGTACATCAAATACCCCATATACCCTTACATGATCAAGTACTCTGTGCTGTGGATCTTCAATGTTTCTTCACGTGCGTTGGTTCCCGCTCAGCACACTAGTTTTGGAAAAGTACATGTGCTAGGGCAACGAAGGAGGGCAACGAAATTGTCCGAAACTGCCTTTTACTGTCGTCTTGGTTTATGGCAAGTTGTTTAAACTTCCCACATGGGATTCTCTTGAGAAAGTGCAGCCTCAGCAAAGCCCTTGAAAGTCGTCCGCTATGGATACGGCATTCACAGATACAATCTCTGGCTCCTTATTGGATCCTATCCAGACGTTTTTCTACCTTGTAACGGCATGTATGACATAAAGGCGAGCTTCGAATTCGTACTATGGGGACTCTCACAAACCATTTTTATTGTGAAGTGAGCCTTTAGGAATCAATTGGGTTTCAAGTGCATAGGTACGACTTGGTTAACTATTCGCTATGCTTCGAGCAAAGCCATTCGTAAAGGGGTTTTTGCGTTTTGAGGAAGATACCGAGTAGAAGAAGGTCGAAGGTGTGAAAGTTCCTTGTCATAGAAAAGAGACTTCATCCTATAGAAAGCGAGTTTTCAATCGAACTTTTCGCTATTCAATATGAGTTCTCAAGCAGTGCGTTTTGATGAGAACCCATTTTCATTGGAAATGTGCGAAATGATAAGTGAAAAAGTGCGATTTTCATGCGAATTTCGCATCTTCATGCAGAACGCATCAGGTAAAAGGGTGAATCGTTTAGCGTTCCCGTCCGGGATCTACCGAACTCAAGATTTCCCCCAAGAGTCGTGGAAAATTCATCCCAATGTTCCAGCTTTGAAACGAGTCTTGAGCATGTCGAGCAAATCAGTATGAACCCCGAATGAATTTTATGAAAAGGACCTAGGAAAAGTAGAAAATTAGTTTGGAGTTAAAGGAGACTCAGTCAGTAACTTTATTGCTGGACAACTCTGATCTCCTTTACTATCGGTTCACCTTGTCCATTTCATTTCGGAAAGTCCCATGTATTGACTGTAAAACTGTATTCCGTGAGAGAACTTGGAAACAGGGAGGATTCACTACCTGAACTAGCTCTTTGTGAAGTTCACCGAAGAGTTACGCGAATTTGGAGCTCGAAAGCATAAATCTTTCTACTTATTCAGCTTTGACCTTCGTTACTGTAAAAAGCCTTACTTAGAAGGCATCAACCTCGATTTTTGGGATCTTTCAAATCAGCAAAAGATCATTATTATCCAATTATCGAAAAAAAAACTTTGAAAATTTGGGTTCAAACAAAGCAAATGATAGTAAAACGAAGTTAGGCTAAATTGCGGGTTGCCAACCACGTGGTTTCATAACTCAATTCCATCCAACAGAATCTGACAAACTTCGTTTCTTTCCCAATTTACAACGAACGCCATTTTTCGATTTTTTCTCGGAAAACTTCTTTTTTAACTCCATTTATTCCGTTCCTGCTCCTATACCCATATTTGATCATCGAGAAACGATTTGTCTAAACACCTTTCACTTTCATATTTCAAGCTGACATTTTTAAATATTACTAAAAGTTGATTCTATGTTTAGCTTTATTTTCCTTCTCATAATATTATGAATAATTGAGTAGCCAGCCGAGCCTCCCATCACTTCCTGGGTGGTTCACTGGTACCAACATCGTCTGGTAGATAAAGGATAATAGCACTACTTTTTGATGTAAATTAGTATATAATAAATACTATCAGAATCAAGGTCACTGTCTGTAGTAAGGAAATGATTCTTAGCTCCATTCTTTCTCCTTTTCAAACTTTTTGGATTACGTATTTCTCAATGAGGCTTCAATGGTCCCAAAAGAAAATTTGATTCTATTACTTTAGTATGGACGAACTATCGCCTGAAACTACAAGGCCCATGCGAAATGGATCTCACCAGGTGGGCCGAGCTATTTTAATTTTTCCTTAAGTTTACAATTATCACTAATTATGAGCAAAAATCACAAAATAAGAGCTCAAAAGAAGCTAACTAATGCTAGAAATGACTTATAACTCCATTTGCTGAACGAGATGAAAGCAAACATTTTCTGAGTTTAAGTCAAATCTTAATCACTTACGAGCCCCGGATGTTTTGTTTGACCCATACTTGTTTGTCTTTTCTTTTATTTAATCTTCCGGTTTTCTTTCTTATTTCAGTATTTCCACTTTTCTTCCACCTAGTACAAAGAGGGAATAATCCCCCGAATTCGTTTCAGTTCATGGACATCTGCGAAACAGAAGCTAAATTATGTATTTCTTTATTTCCACTCCCTTGTTCTCACGTTCCATTATGTTCCTAATTCATTGAACGGCCAAAAATTATTCAAATAAATAAATAAATAAGTAAATAAATAAATAAATAAATTACTAAGAGTGTTGAGGACTTCCTTTTTGAGGTTTCCATTCGACAACGTCACATGCTCGCTAACTTTTGAGTCATTCAAGTAAGTTGCTTATCATCTCCTGCATTCATTCATTTGTTTATTTTTTCTATTTGTTTGTTTTTGCCTTGGAGCTTTGTCAAAATAAAAATTACAAATGTAATTTTCTGTTCAGCTACAATACGGACGAGGTTCAGATGTCGTGGACGCCGTCTGGGGTTAGTAAAATGCGGGACAAAATGGAGTTAGCCGACTACGAACTGGTCGATATCAAAAATGTTCGCAATGTTGAGGTCTGCTTACTTAATGCCTACTTAATATCATTTCAATTTTCAAGTTACTTTCATTTCTATCTTGCTATGTACCTCATGTAGCATTGGCACTGAATCATGAATTTTTTTTTCATAGAAAAAAAAAACCAGAATTACCGCTCACGAAGTCAGATGCAAATACTTAAAGCACTGCTTCATATACAACAAAATAAGTAACTAATTTGTGAACTATTCTTCTCAGATTTCCACGCACTAAAGTTTTCATGGAGAAGGGGTAGTGAAGTGGCAAGTGGCACACTTTCACACCCGCAGGGTCATGAGTTCAAACCCCGGATCGATTTCCACCTGAGCCTAGCAAGCCTTCCATCCCTCCAAGGCCGGTTCCTCAATACCAGACTCGTCTGGGAGGATAAAAGCGCTGGCTTGTAGATCGGCTGGCCACCACAAGTAATTGTATAGGCCACGTACACATTCAATATGTCCAACAATTCTAAACGGATGTCGAATGCGGATCGCATCCCCTTGAATATAATCGTTTACTCACAGTCTTCATTATTCTAACCCTCTTTTTCCAGCTTATTCAAAGTACATTTGAACTTTTTGAACTTTTTTCCGGCAATACGACCTGTCTGTCAACATTTTAATATTTCGAAATTTTGGTTTTGAATATTCATGAAGAACTAAGAACTAGAGCCCTATTCGATTGATTTCAATTTTTTTTT